GTAGATCAGAAAAAATCATGCTTGAAGCCCGTCAGGCCAGTGTCAAAAATGATCTGACTCAGTCACTTCACAGAGTATATAATTAATCAGTACAACACAGATATAGAAATAAAACATTAAAATCTACTTATAATTAGTTGTCTCTAAAGTGTGCCTAAATTGAATACTGGTCAAGGTAAATGTGATAAATGAAGGAACAATCATCATTTCCTTAACAGAAATTACTACTAGTTGATATCTGAATAAAATTGTCCAATTAGTATTTGCTTGAATTAACTGCTTAGTGGTAGCTTTGCTACCAGGTCTTAGTTAGCACTACACAAAGGGCTAGCGTTACACTTTTGTTTACCTTACCCTCTGATCCTGATTACAAATGCCAATTTGGGTTCAGCAGGTACATAGTAATTGCCAGCTTTGCGAGCCATACGGGCCATGCGAATCTCACGACGGTACATCTGCCTATATTCTTTGTGGTAAGTCTGGGCTCTTTTATAGATGAGTTTTCGTTCCTCCTTTCGCAACTGAAATGAGAATGTTATATTGAGAAATTTATCCTTTTCTCCCTCTGAGGAGAGCAGAGTGGCCAGTTTCCCCTCATCTTACAAGTATACTGTCAGGTAAGATTAGATAACAAACCATATGAATATGAATTTCAATCTACTGTAGTCACATCACTGCAACACATTTTTACTTAAACTTTTGTCACTTCAAAGGCAACCTAGTTCTAGGAGAAAAAATTCAATTTTAAAAAAGAATATTTTTTCCTCTTTTCTAATCAACTTGTGCTGGGTATTTTCAAGGGTCTCACATTTTTCAAGGCACTGATTTGGAAGGAATGCTTACTCCCTTTTTCATCTTTATCCTCTTTACCTTTATCTTGCAGGGAAGGGCAAGCTCCCAAATTTTGCTACATTCAGGCCAAAGGCAAGACTGAAGTAGCTGAGGACTAGACAAGGACTTTCAGTCAGGGAACACTGAAAACAGGAATTATTTTAGCAAAGTACAGGTTAGGAATGGCTGCAAAACCCTGAGTAGTGGAAAGTTCTCTAGCACATATCTTGCTAACCCATATAAAATTAGAGTGCAAGATATGTTAAGAAAAAATGGATCCAGTATCATGTATTTACTGATTAAGAAATGCATTACAGTAGGAACTAGAATGCTTTTGGAGATGAACAAAGTAGTAAGTGAATCCCAAATATTTTTTTTTAATTTAATATATTGCACTGAATGCTAGGAATGTGAAAAATGTAGCAATTAGACTCTGAAACATTTCATTTTCTCACAGAATGTGTGATCCAAATGTATTTCTAGAATAGAAAATGGTTTGTGATGTTCCAAACATGGTCCAGGACCCAAACAGCCCTGAATTGCTTTCTGTTCACTAAAATACATTTCCAGAAATGCACAAGCCACTTATAGAACAGTCAGACAGCCCATTCCATCGGAAAAATAGAGCACTCAGGATAAAAGCAGAATGCTTAAAATAAGCTGCTGTTTTGCTTGTAATGGGAAAACCTTTGGGGTTCTATAGATGCTACATTGCTGCAAAAGACTAAAGGATGATTCAAACTAAAGCCAAAAACAAATGCAATTTTTGCAGTTGATTACTGTCTCTTAAGACCAAAATTTGTGTTACCACTGCAACACACTAAAGCAACAAACAAGACTAATCATATTTTAACCTGTGATTTTAATTAAAAAACTATGTACTAAATTGCAATTTGATACATATTTACTTGATAGTAAGCAAAATGAACACAGTGGGACTATATTCTGTGTAAATGAGCACAGAATTGGTTATTAAATCATATTGTCTTGCTCTTATGGAAGCTGCTAGAAGCTGTGTCTCATAGGGTGGATTAAAAATATAATATTTACCTTCTTTTGGATCAAAAGTCTCTTCAGGCGTTTGGCCTTTAAGTCAGCAAAAGCCTTCCTTTTCTTCAAAAGGCTTTCTGGCACTGAAGGCAACTTCTTCTTTCCTCTAAATTATAAAACAATAAATAAGCAAACAATTAAAGCACCTTTCTGGATCTGGTTCTCGTGATTTTTTCAGTAACACAACTAGACAATTTAACTTCCACTTCCAAAGCATTCCTCTCTCTTTGTGGGCAAAACTTTTCTAGAATTAATTATATCAAAATGTTTCATATGAAGATGTTTGACAACTAGCCAAAATGTACCCAATTAAAAAAACTAGAACCTCAAGAAATATAAAACATCAGGTAATGCCGATATACTTTGTTCTGAACTTTATTTGGTACATTTTGGTAGTTTTTACAGAATTTATTCTAATTATCCAAATATGTATCATCAACCATACTTACACTATCAGACAAAAAACAAACACTTCTCTCAACTCACCCTGCCTGTTACTATTCCGCTAGTTATTACATAATGGTTTTCCCCATTAAAATCATCCCAAAGCTTATGGTAAAACCGTGTTTGCTGATTTTGACAGAAATTGGAAGACACTTATTTTCAAACAAGCAAGGAAAAAACAGTAAAAATACCAAGTTTTCTTGCCATTCTCTTTCAACGTTGAATACCGTGGAGTTTCGGATCCCTGATTTCAGGCGAAGGACCGCATTCGGGCCCTTTTACAGCACAAGCGCCCTCCTCGCTGTGCTCCATTCGCCCCCCACTGAATGCGTGTACAACACCGGAAGGCAATAACTAGGCCTAGACTGCACTAGCAAACAAATAAACAAACAAAGCAGCGTAGTGGATCTGGGAAGCTGCAACTCCCCCCCCCCCATTAGGTTTCTCTCGCTCTGAGAAAATAATCTTCTACAGCACCCAACGCGTCCCATTAAATCACAGATCCAGTTCCCAGCCGCATCTCCCTAATCAACCCCTTCCAGACAACTGTTACACCAATTCAGGGAAAACTTTCCAAGTTATAAAGCCATGGTAAAACCTAAAGAAAAAAAGGCTGGCAAAGAAGTTCTTAAAGCCGCAGATGGCAACGGATTGCCCCCAAAAAACATTACTTACTCTTCACCCGCCATGGTCGCTACCGGAAAAAGAGAGACGGGGAGCATGCGCAGTGAGCATAAAGAGTCGCTGAGCGGGTCAATGGAAGGGACTGCTGAGTGCGAAGCCCCCGCTCCCGCTTAGCTGCCTAAATTAATGCCTGCGCCAAGTAGGCACGCTTGGTGGGCAGAGTAGTGCTGAAACGTGAACGCGGAAGCAACTGTCGTAAACTCCTTCAAATGGTGAAAGTTTTCATGCTTTCCTTTTTATTACCAGCCAGCTTAGGCGATAAGGAGGGGGAGGGCGACATTTAAAGTTAATGATTTTAAGAATGTGTTAAAGTAAGCTAAATTTGGAATTTCATTGATAATCCTACTTGTTTTGATCTCTTTATATCTCCTATTCTAGGCAATAAAACAGAATGTCGTTCATGAAATAGTCAAGTGATGTGTACATGAAATAAAGTATGCCGTCCTTACGATTGTATGCATGACTCCCTCCCAGGTTGGCTCAGTGAGGCTTTCTCTTAAGGACTTTCTCCTAACTGCGCAAAGTTTCTACTATATGGAAATTGGCATGCTTCATGGACATTGGCGTGTTACATTACGCGGACTGCTATTCTATTCTGTTTGCTCCATGTAAATTTCAATGTGAATGCGCCAAAGAGCAGCACGTGGCTGGGTTTGAAAGCTAAGCAGAGTCTGGCTTGTGCAGCACTTGGACGAGAGACTGCCTCGGAGTTCGGCAACGGCGAACCTCTTTCGTTTTACTGCCATGAAAACTATACAGACGTGTCCATCCTGTCAGCGGGAATCAAGCTCGATTGAAAGAGGCTTTAGTCTAAACCTTCCTCATTACAGTAGATCCTGTTCGTTAGGATTACGATGCGTCAACGGAATCCGGTTGTGTATTATAGTGTGTAAACTGAATTCGGGAAAGACCAAAAGGTGAAAAGAAAGCCAAATGGCTATGTAAAAACTACATTTCCCAGCATGCATTTCGACACTGCGAGGGCGAAAGAAAAGAAGGCGTTGCAATGTACTAGGGGAGCAAAGTCTTTCGACGTAGTGGCTTTCAATCAGGTGCCTTCTGAAGTTATAGGATTGGCCGGGTTTGGAATTTTGCTGTCTGTAGGTCACCTCCTTGACTTCCGGCCTTCCAAATCTAGCTGAATGGTCGGCGTGGCGCCCCACAAGTAATTCTTTTCTGAACTTAATCTTTTCCAGTCTTTCGCGTCCTGTATGCATTTCCTTGGCCGTAAACTCCATTTGCATGCAAGTCAGATCACGAGGCGGCGTGTGTGCAGCCGTGTTGGCATCCCTGTTTGCGCGCAGTGGCTCAAACTTAAACATCTTCGACTATTTGGCTCTGCGTTGTGGATCGAATTTATCCGGTCTCCGGGTATTGGGGGAGGTGATGGAAAAAAATACACGTCGAGGTGGTCCTGCGGATTAAACGACGGAATTGGTTTCAGGCTGAAAGCAGCGCTGCGCCGCGCCCCTCCTTCGCTCCAGTTTGCGGCAGTTTCCTTCGCATGTAAAGAAAATTAGGGGTTCTGCTCAGTAGCGCACCCGGTTCAAATGGTTTCCGGCGGGGTTAGTCTGTTACAGCGAAAACGGCAGTCTTGGGCTACCTGAAAAATCAAGTCCTTTTGTTCTGGCATCAGATTAACAGTTTGCGATAATTTAATGCGATGGTAACTTTGGTTCAAGATGGCATGACATTCTGGACGGGCTTACAGATCACGCAAGATAAATCCTGGCCCCTCTTTTTGTACATTGCAAGTATTGCATGAACCCAGCCCTTGTGGTTTCTTTGCTACCCCGTGGTCACACCGTGGTTTACCGACTCAGGTGTCTGTGGACTGAAATGGGATTCGCTGCCCACGGACGCGCGCCTAGGATGGCTCCTTGCGATCGCCCGCGCCTGGGTCGAGGCCGTGGACGCCCCGAAACGAAAGAAAGAAGCCGCCAGCCTTTTACCCGGGGGCGGCTGGGCGGGGGGG